CATAAAGTTATAATGTTCCTATATTTTTACTCTCAAATGAAGTATAATATAAATGAAATATATTTCTTGTTGTAATTTTGTATTTACAACAACAAAATACTCAAATATTCTTATATGTACAACTTTTAATCACTTATTTACTTATGTTTTGTTTTTTGTTTAACTCAAATTTAAGTAGTTATAGTAACAATAAATACATATAAACATTAATTAAGTGAACATTTAAAATAAAAATTTATTGTTTAAAAAAACTTTTATCTATGTGGACACTCTAGATGGAGAGAGAACTCCATAATTATATAATAGATTTATTTATTTTCTGAATTACCAGGAAGTTTTATAATTTACTTTTAAGTTAAATATTTTGGAGAAAATGCAAATGGTATTTTTTTGGGACGGTTAAGGGCGATTGAAAGACGGTTTCGTTTCGTTCGTTACCGTTTCATCACCGACTCTAGACGTGATCTTCACCGGTCTCCAGTAATGTTTATGTGAGTCGAGATTCCACAAAGAATCATGGTCATTGATTGAACGATGAATTTGACTTTTATACGATGAAGGTTATATCGTATCGTTCTATATCTCTTCCTTGTTGTGGTGGTTCTGATGTGATTTGCAACGATGATAATGGTTCATAAATTTTTGAGTCTCTCAGACCTCGACAACTGATAAAATACACTTGTACTCGGTTCGAGATGATTTTTTTGACTGGAAACATCTTTATATCCAATTCCGACAAAACTCTCCTATAGAGGAGACGACTTCTTCATGGTTCTTTCGGGTTGGTTGGTTCTATGACTTCAGTCAAATCATCTCCATGAAGGGTTTTACGACTCTCCATGATGATAGATATACTCAATACCATTCATGTGAAGGGATTGAGTATAAAATTCGAAGAATAATATGATGTCTAGGTCGGCGGATATAGAATCCTGGAAAATCATGTTTACAGAGAAGAAACAAATTGGTGAAAGAGAAGATAACGACATTACTCTGGAAACGACCGCCATGGAAACCAGAATGGAGAAAATGGCGAGTCAGAGATGAAAATATATTCTCTTTGTTGTATGGTGATATTCGTATAATCATTGAAAATTAGCAGTCCGAATGTTTATTTATATCGAAAGAATCAGTACATTGGAGTCTTATAGATCTAACTTGGAAGCTGGCTACTGTAATACAACAAGGAGAATTGGTGTTTGGTAGTTTCATTGAAACGGTGATAACCAAAGATGAAGTTCGCATTAGATTGCATGCGAATATGTGGAAGGAAAATAACAAAGTTATTATTATATTAGCGAGTAAGACTTTTTGGATAAAAGCATCGTTAAAAATTATTTCCTTCATTTTTTACAATTTTGGTTATGTACTTGGTTGTATTTTTCTTATTTTATGTATAAATTATGTAATTTTGAAATTTATATAAATGAAAAGTTAGATGTTAAAAAAAAAAAATTGAAGAAAATGCGTCACACAAATCCACAATGCTTCTCTTACTTAAATCAAGAATGAATTTAGTGAAAACTAAATTTTGAAAAAGGAAAAAAATCTAAACAGTATGCGTTGATGTATTTTCACCATCTTAATTTATTGACATTACAACGTCTCGAAACAATTATACTAGCTAAATGTCTAAAACCAATTTCAAAAGCATTTAAAACAAAAAACGTGAATTCAACAAACAAAAAGCATTTATATGTTTTCGTGTTTCAACAAACATATAAGTATAACTTTTCTATTTGTTTCTCAG